CACTTGCGCGCTGTATCATAAGGTCTGTCATTTAGTCAACTGGCACGGTTTCGATTCCCCAGTTGTACGTGACAAGGAGTAGGGTCGCCTGTCCAACCTCGTTGGTTTTCGCCGGGTCCTCCCACTACTAAAGACCCCTATGTGCAAGCGAATTATTGAAATAAAATTGACCCATATGTTCGTCCCGAAATGACCTGGTTTGTGTCAAGGGAACTTAAACCCTATCTCTCTCTCTCTCTCTGCTTAGTCAAAATTTCAATTACCGGGTAGGCCTATCCATAATTTTTTCAATCTGTTATGAAATCATTTAAATTTGGATAATGTGTAGAATATGCATATCTAAAACATATATTTCCTTGTCGGTCAATTTTTGCAATACTTTGCGACTTACTTACAAATGCTTTTAGTGATCAGTTGGATTAGGAAGGTCTGAAAATAATGCATTTTCAAAGATTTTGACAAAGTATTACTGTACACGGTAATCAATCATTTTTCCAAAAATGTGTTATACATAGCAAGCCCTAATAAATAATCATCACCTTTGATGTCACTGACCCGCAAAGGGCGATTTATTATTGAGCCTTGAAATTTGAAACATGCAGAAACATTATTTGTATAACATGGGTGTAAATCTTCATAATTATTTCGCGTAACCAAAAAAAAGATGTTTCACCTAAAGACAATCACCATGCCTAACAAACAATAAGTAATTGTCACACACAGGGTTTTGCGGAAACAGGGACTGAAAAGTGTCTAAAAGGCCCAAAATGTAGAGGTGAAAAAACATCCCTTACCATTAATAGTATTAATACAGTTACAATTTTTCAGAAAAAAACAAGCACAAAAATTCTTCCTCCTAGAACTTTGAAGACTCAATTTGAAGTATCATTTAAATCCGCCGATGGAAGCCTTCATTCACTTGGGCATATTATTGTTAACTCTGTCCGTCCATCCGTCTGGCGTCCACAATTGCTTATGGACGCTCTACAGGCTAAAGTTAATATTCGATTGACTTTAAATTTATACACAGTGTTTAAGGTCATGAGACGAAGACGCCTATTGATTTTCAGCGATTTCCGATATTAACTTCCAGAGTTATGGCCCTTGATCACTTAAAAAAATTGTGTGGAAGCTCTACAGGCTAAAGTTAATATCCGATTGACTTTTAATTTATACACAGCGTTTAAGGTCATGAGACGAAGAAGCCTATTGATTTTAAGTGACTTCCGATAATTTCTGCCAGAGTTATGACCCTTGATCACTTCAACAAGCGGCTGCCAGGCGATTTTTTCTACAATCAAGGGTCATAATTCAGGAAATTAAAATTTGATATGCGCAAATATCAAAAGGAACAAGACTTTTGTGTTATAAACTTACATTTCAAGTTTGAACAAAATCAGATAAAAACTGTGACCTTTATAGGGTCCACAACCTTGATATACCATATTTTTACGATATTTGAGAACAAAGGGCGGCCATTTTGTCTGTCAGTTTTGGGCCGATTTTCACGACATTCGAACTCAGCCGTCCTTAGGGTGTAACGGTGATATAATAATACGTTTTTTTAAATCGGATAAAAATTATGACCTCTATAGGATAGGGTCAAAAAACTAAAAACGCGATTTTTCGTACAATCAGGGGGCATAATTCAGGAGGTTACGGTCCGATATGCGCGAATATAGAAAGTAACCGAGATCTTTGGGTTATAAACTTACATTTCAAGTTTCAACAAAATCGGATAAAATTCTGACCTCTATAGGTATTTTTTTCAAATGAAAAACACATGATTAAATGGGACGGGACGGGACAGCAAAACGGCTATCATCAATTACTCGGCTATATAAAATAGCCGACTGAGCATGCGCAGTCTGCCAGATGACTGCGTGTAAACAAAACATACATCGCGATGGTAGAATCGGCAATTAATATCTGAACAATTGTGCTTTATTGGAGAATGACATGAGAATCATACATCATGCGGTGTTTTCCTCCTGAAACGACGGAATTAGGTCGGTGAATTTTCTTCTCTGAGATGCTCGGAAAACGGATTTACATACGGCGCTTATGGATCACCTTTCGCGATCCAATAATTTATTATAGATATTTTCAACTTATAATAGAATGTTTTTTTAAATCGAATAAAAATTATGACTTCTATAGGGTCCACAAGCTAAAAACGTGATTTTTCGTACAATCAGGGGCCATAATTCAGGAAGTTACGGTCCGATATGTACGAATATCGAAAGGAACCGAGATCTTTGGGTTATAATCTTAAATTTCAAGTTTCAACAAAATCGGATAAAAATTGTGACCCCTATAGGGTCCACAACCTTGATATACCATATTCTTACGCTATTTGGGAACGAACGGCGGCCATTTTGTCTGTCAATTTTGGGCCGATTTTCACGAAATTCGAACTCAGTCATCCTTAGGGTTTAACGGTGATATAATAGAACGTTTTTTTAAATCGAATAAAAATTATGACTTCTATAGGGTCCACAAGCTAAAAATGTGATTTTTCGTACAATCAGGGGCCATAATTCAGGAAGTTACTGTCTGATATGCGCGAATATCGAAAGGAACTGAGATCTTTGGGTTATAAACATACATTTCAAGTTTCAACAAAATCAGATCAAAATTGTGACCTCTATAGGGTCCACAAGCTAAAAACGTGATTTTTCGTACAAACAGGGGCCATAATCCATGAAGTTTCGATCCGATACATGCCAATATCGAAAGCAGCCGAGATCTTTTGGGGATACACCTATATTTCAAGTTTCGTCGAAATCGGATAAGAATTGTGACCTGTAGAGAGTCCACAATTAATTGTGGACGGACGGCCGGCCGGGCGGACAGGGGCGACGGCATAATATGTCCACATGAAAATGTGGGTGTATAAAAAAGCGGGAAAATGTCACGTGACATTGACAAGACAGAAGCTATCATAATCAACCGGTAGCGATGAAACATTCTACGAACGCAGACAAATTTAAGGATTTATATTGTAATGAACATTTAATAACATTTTATAAATAATAATCTCAATCATACCGCCTATGCTAGAATTTACCACGGCAAAACTGTCGTAAAAAGTAAAAGCTGAAGCAAACACGGACTGCCACGGTAATAAAAATAGCCCAAATTGCGCTGTTGTCCATGTGTACACGTATCAAAAAGTTATGCCTTTTATATACGAAATGAAATGAAATGAAATGAAATGGGGTTTAACGTCCTACTGTTCTGCTCCTATGCTGGGCTAATGAAGACGGGCACACGCCATACAGTGTGCTATGAGAGAAATTTTGCCCGGGCAGCGGCACTATCGCCTACTCTTATAGGGATTTTTTACGTGCATTCCAATGTATACACGGGACCTCGGTTTTTCGTCTCATCCAAAGGACTAGACAGCTGTCCTTGTCAGGACCTCCGTCCTCCATCACTGATATTATAGTGACAAGGGGGAAACCACGCCGGAAAATCTGGATGAACTTTCTCGGCCAATGCAGGAATCGAACACCTGACCTCCAGGCTAGCGAGCCAGCGTCTTACCCACTTAGCCACGTGATCCCCCCTGTTATATACATGTAGACGTATGAAATGCATAGGTACTAGTAACTTTTCAATATATCATACAGTCATTCAGGGGCGGCTGGGCTTGGGATTAGGTCAATAATTCAAAAATGCAAGATTTAGTTGTAAATAGTATCCCAAGCCTACCCTTATTCAGAAATGCAAGATTTAGTTGTAAATAGTGTCCCAGTAGTGTTTCATAAGAATGCTCACTTTCTAAAATAGTGCCCTTATTATAGAAGGTTATGGCAGAGCCGTGGGAAATTTGATGAATCAATTTTAGTTATGGTTGACATGATGGCAACCATTGGGAACACGAATAACACGAACACGAAAGGAAAACAAATTTCGATGACTTTTTTTACTCCAAGAGGAATCTGTAAATACTTATGACAGTACCACCAAAAGCAATTAGAACCAGATTAATTGACACGGAAAATCATTGCACAGGCCGTTTGTCTATCTACAAATATAAAAATTGCACTTTCAGTGACGGAAAATGACAACAGTATATTTGTTAAATATGAAGAAAGGCAGCCGTGCCTTGTCAGCTAATTTTTGCTACGGCATTTATAAATTTTTGGTGCCGTTGTAGAAGAATCCTCATTTCAAGCACTGGTCTGATCTAGGCCTACTAATACTAATAAATCATGCAACAAATAATTATTAGGTTCTCAATGGACGTTGTGTATTTTCAACTACGTGTGAAGAGCGACCTAATTATTCTTCAACAAACATCGTCTTCTATCCCAATATAAAACCTCTACAAAAACAGTATACGCAATCCATAAAAATTTTGCACAAAAATGCATTTCGTTTCGCGTAAAACAGAGATCCTCAAATTTTAATGCGGAGGATATGACATCAAAAAAGGTCAAACTATTCCAACATGGCGACTGAAAGAAATGCTGGTGTATGTGATATTGGATAAACCTGTAATTCACTGAACAACGTTTGTTTGTCAGTAAGTGTCATTGTTGTTCAGAGATGGATCACACAATAAGGTAGGACATGCATTTAGAATTTATCGACTGACGCTTTCAGCTCGTGACTATTTGATGCGCCAACAATTCAGTCGCAGTTCGCTCCAAATAAGTACACTAGCCTAGTACCCGGTACAGATTCAGGAATCTTGAGGTTACGTGTGAACGAAACCTCAAGGCACTCTGGAGTAGATAAGAATATGCCGTTACCGTTTCACACGACATGTGGAATATGTCTAGCTTCATTCTTCGCGCCCCTTGTTAAACGGTTTTGAAATTCTAATGTTTGGGCAATTATTTCTGCCTTGTGTTTCAAAGCAATTGCTCAAAAAATAAAATTTGGTTGGTAGTGACTAGTGGTACATACAACAATGCCATTTTGTTTTCGACAACCTGATTAGTCTACACGATACCCAAGTTTTAGTGACGGTATCCTTAGATCCTAACCTTTTATATTCCAAATAAGCATCTACTCCAGCAGCTTTGGACGAATCGAACTTCAGATGATACTGTCGGTCGGCCATCTTTGTCGACACTGTTTACATTGACATTGTTTACCTTAGTTTCAAACGGAAGTAAACGGACACAGATCACCAAATATTTCTACGCTGGGCGAAAGTTATTTTTAGTCTTTCTCTCCCTTTCCCTTTTTTCCCCTTTCGCATGGCGATTTTTGTTGGCCTTTTGGTGTAGAATCGAAAAAAGGGTTTGAAAACACATTTTCTGCCAGGTTTTGGTGAATATTCATGATTCTGAGGCGGAAGGATACAAGAGTTGAGAGGTTGGTTAGGTTGAAATGTAGGGCCGAAAATTGCATGTTTTATTTTTTGTCTCTACTTCCAGCTTGTGTATCTCAAATTTTTCATGGTGAACCTCATACATGCTTTTGGGCAAGAGTTTGTCACATGTTGCTCCACCTGTGGCAGAAAGCGTTCTACCCAACGAAAATTTGAGAAAAAGTTAGACTTAGAACCGGTCTAAGAGACGAGAATTGGCATAAAAGTCAATGGGGAAATCGTGATCTGTGGCCAATCGAGGGCTATTTCTTAATTAGAGTTAGCTCCCATTAACCGATAAATCCCATAGTTGATACGTCAGACTCGCTTCTACGTCACTCCTTTTCTGACTTGCATATATTGAAGTCAGAATAGCGCAGTGACGTAGGAACCAGCCCGACGTCATTTACTGATTTAGAGCAGGTTACCCAGTCTACATAGTTGACAGCTCATTTGTATTAGACTGGATAACCTGCTCTAATCCGCCAGACTCGCTCCTTTACGTCACTCCTTTTCTGACATGCATATTGAAGTCAGAATAGCAGTTTGATTGCCCGATGCTTTTTAAAAAGATAATGTGGAATTAATTAATATGTGTCATCTATTTTGGGGGGGATTTCGGCGGGGGACACCAGCCTCACTGTTGGCTTGTTTTTCCATCATTTTCTGACCTTAAAGCGAGAATTTCAAATTTTCTAAGAAAGTCAAAACATAATTATTATTTCTATGTCTTTTGCTCAATAGGTTATCAAATCACTATTATACGATCATGGGCATTATTTCCCACCCTTAAAAATCTATGACACAGGAAATAACAACACAATTACCTCCCCTGTTTTGCTATTGACAACATGGGGAAGCCATTTTCCAACGTTGGAATCTGAAGTTAAAAATGATATTTTTGCCAATTTGTCAGCTGGCAATAGCGATTAATAGGATCATTCTTTAACAAGATAGGACTGTTTATGGATACCATCTATTTTAAGGCTAAATTTTAATACATTTTAAAAATATAACTTGAAAATTTGCATTTGCCACTTTAAAGTGATGTCATTTGATGATCAAAATCTACCCGTTATTTTTGGGTTAGATTTATGGTTGTATTTTACATAATCTTTACGACATTATCGTCAACGTTATATTTCCATCATTTTATGATATTAAAGTTATAATGTTATTTGTTTATATATAAATTCAACCACAGGGCCTTGTTTCCGGCTTGTAAAAACAATACGGTAATATAATTGAAGATCCACTGACAGGGTCTTGTTTCAGCTTCTATAACATAAATTATAAAGAAATTTTGATAATCTTTCAAAACCAATCATGAATTAAGAATTATTTAATATTTGTTGACGTGAAAGTTTAGGCCCACAGTTAATCTTGTTAAGAATTTTGTCAATTTATATTTATCCTTAGACATAAAAAGTAATCAGCCTATTATTACTAATAAGGAATAGGACAGAATTGTAGAGTTTAATGTATTCCTAGGCATTAAAGTAGCCAAACCAATGTCCATATATTATTCAAGTATGAAATCATCCAAATTTATTTGCTTTGTATTTCATTCTGTTTCTAAGGTTTTTTTCATTATTTAAAATACATCTGCTTGATTCTTGTTTATATTGCTTAAAGCAGTGGACACATTAGCCGAATCGTTCTGCCGAATCAATCGGCGCCGAATTTTATTCGGCCGAATGGGTGGACACACTAGACGAATGCTTCGCCCGATCAACCTGCCGATTGCATCACCTTTCACGTCACATGATTAAACATGGCGGCGTCTATCTCTTCACTCTATCACGTGACTTCTCAATATGAGTGGTGATTGGCTAATGAATTCTATATTCGGCCGAATGCTTCGGCGAAGCGGACACACCAGGCGAATATAATTCGCCCGAATAAATATTCGGCCGAATTTATCTAACCTGTTTGATTCGGGCGAATCATTCGGGCGAATCATTCGGCCGAATAGAAATTCGGCCGAATGACAGTGGACACACTATAGGCGATTCGGCCGAATCATTCGGCTAGTGTGTCCACCGCTTTAGATTGGTTATTTTGTCGTGTCGGCGGGTTGATTTCGTCGACTTGTCGACTTGTTGCCTTCTTCACAAGTCGACGATTTAGATTCATTTGAATGGCCGCTAACAGCCACCATAGTCTGCTGCCACTTATAGCCACGCCGCCTCTTTAGTCCGGATTAACCAGCCGGAACTATTTCAAGGTAAGAAGTAGACTGGATAACCTGCTCTAATACGCCAGACTCGCCCGTACGTCACTCCGTTTCTGACTTATATTATAGAAAACTTGTGTCGAATCCACGTCCAACAGGAATATGAAAACAATGGATCGAGGAATCCGATACGGAAGTGTTCTTCACTAGATAAATATAAAAGTAGATAAACAAAAGAGACACTAACACTGTTTTTTTTTTTTTGTTTTTTTTTATTAACTTGAAGAAGAAGAGGGTACCTCTTCGAAACGTTGGTCTAATTATATCTGACTGTGAAAACAGTGTTAGTGTCTCTTTTGTTTATCTACTTTTATATTATAGAGACAGGTAGTGGGCAGCCAAGTTTTGACGTAGTGTTACTAAAAATAGACGGGTATCCCTAATGATGGCGTTCAGCATTAAAATGAGTAAGCTAGAAGATTTGTTAAGCTTTTCTTTAATGTCTAAGATTGCTCTAGCCAAATTAAACCTTGATCGTGCGACATCTTATATTGTTAATATTGTTATCTTAAACACAAACAAAGCGACAGTTTAAAATCAGCTCTTTGTAGGAACCAGCCTGGCGTCATTTAGATTAGAACAGGTTGTCCAGTCTAGGTAAGAAGTCTCCTCCTAGACTGGATAACCTGTTCTAAATGACGTCAGGCTGGTTCCTACGTCACTGCGCGGGAAGCATTTTTTTCCATCCACCGCAACAAGGTAGTGTGCGCATGACTCAAATATACGTGTTTTACTAGATCACCAAACTGCACGCAGCGATCCATCTACGTCATACTTCGAGAATAATGATCACTGCCCTAGTTAGCCACCATTTAAAACGCTCATGTGATCATTTTGGGGCGGGACTTATCGACTGGACCACAGCTTTGTGTACACAACAGGGTAAAAATAACCCAATCAAGCACGTGTTTTATGTAAACACATGTCTTTGGGAAAATGTCAACTTCTGCCACTCCGCTAAAAGCGATATATAATATGTGTTAGTGGGTAATATTGCAATACATTCTTTGCCATTGTAAACTGTCTTTAGAGTTTCAATCTGTTTATTTTTCAAAACAAGGTTAGATACTCAAGGTTAGATCTTCGCCATATTGAATAATTAGCTAGAGGACTATTTTGTGATTCGGCTTTGATTAGTTTGACATCTTTCATACACACAGCGGCTAAATAAACATACCGGGAATCCTCGTATTTAAGCCCTGTAGTTATTAAGCCCATGGGCTAAATAACGAGTTTAAATTTCGAATTTAAGCACATGGGCTTAAATTTAAAATTTATTTTAGAGTAGTCTCCCTTTTAAATTTTCAAACCACATGTGAGCTATAGGCTACGAGATGTTCTCCAGTCACATTCCGGTACTGTACTGCCAGGTGAGGACGAACTCAGTGACGACCCGTTCAAGTATTCCAGTTCAGACGAGGACATTGATGGGTAACGGGTGCTCACCATACTAGTAAAAGCTAGCCTTGAGATCTGATTTGTTCAAAGAACTTTGAAATTTAAAGTTTATGGACAGTTTCTTTTTGTATTGCAGAACATTTATGTAACGGTGTATCACAATTGTGTTTTAAAAGCCATTTTTGTTGATGAATTTGGTTCGTTCCATTTAAAATTATAAAAAGAACCCAAATGTTTGTTGTTTTTCCTCTTTTCGAATTTAAGCCCTGGGCTTAATTTCCGAAGAAATGTTTCATCACTGACATGGTCGAATTCGAAATTAAGCCCATGGTTTAAATACGAGAATTCCCGGTATTTAATTTCATTCAATATGACAATAGAAGAGAAATAAATACTTCTAAAAATACTTGCCATGTGCCAAAGCGGGAGCACGTTGTGCGTAAGACTCATCAATGAACTAATTCGCTCGAATGTAGTCGTTTTTATTATATTTTCGTAAAGGAACACTATCGAGAATTATCACTGATATAAACAGATAATATTAGTGTGTATCGGGATTGTATAGAACGCGATTAATATTTTTAAAGGAGGAATAATAATAATGGAGAGTAGTGCCGTACGGTCAGAATCGAACGACGTTAAAGGGCCAATCCCGATAATATTTTGGAGAATAAACTGCTTAATTTTGTGTTAAAATCCCTTAACATTCTCTACCTTAGGGCCGAGCAACTAACCCAATATATGTGATACGTTTTTAAACAACTTAAACCCGTCAGTCTTCATATGGAAATGGAGACCGCTGTTCCAAGCTGTATTATGCGATGTCTGGATAAAACCAGACTTTTATTTTATAAAAATAATATGTAGGTGAAATTTACCTTTCGGTATCAGTACAGCACATGGACCATTCATTGTATATACCTCTAAATGACGGGAATCGATTATCAGGTCACCCAACGAAAAAATTGACCCGAAATCTTAAAAGGGTTACGTGTCCGGGTAAGCCGTTTTGGCGTTCACTTCTAAACGACTCAATATTTTGAGCTGAAATTTTGAGACAAGGTAAATACACCATCCCTCTATATTTTGGGGCTTAAATCTCATATGTACTCAGACCTTTATTTCTGAGACTCTGTTCAAATCGGGGTAGTCC